AAAAAAAAAAAAGGAGCAAGGTAACTGTCTGGAATGGCATCAAACAGGTGACATCTGGAGTATCCTGATCAATGCCAATCACTCCTAGAACGGGGTGGAGGGAAGCATCACTCCTTTCAAATTTGTACTTTGTTCTCTTAATAAGACATGATGACAATCTTATTTTTATAATATGTCTATTATTATTACCTCACACAAAAACAAAATTTGTGAAATCCCAAATTTAACATACTCTTGAATCTTACTTCATTCAGCTTCCTTAAGAAACCAAGTGGGAGAAAGGTGATTAGGTTTCTTCTGAAACAGAAGTAGGAGAGGCAGAAAAGGAAGCACGCAGAACATAAACAGGCTGCAAATCAACAAGCAGCCACGACTCCTTGCTCAGTTCATCAAAGGAACAAGGACAAACCAACACCAGCAGGCTATGGAGACGGTTGCCCAGAGTAGAGACAATAACATAACGCGTTTAGAGCACAATTAGAGAAACCGTGCTCTTCAACTGTAAGGAAGGTTTTCCTTGATGACTACAGACATTTTATCTATAAACAATCTTGCTCACGGAGTCCCTGGGTGGGCCACGGCTGAGCATCTGAGCAACTAGCCCAAAAAGTTGCTGGCTTGAACCCCTAGCACTATGGATTGCTGGTATGACCCCACCTAACCCTAGTCATTGTAACTCTCAGAACGACAATGCAAATGTGGTGTTTGTGACCCATCAGGGGTATTGGATAGCTAATAATGTAAATAAAGTATAGGATACCTTTATGAGGTGGGGATCATGCAGACAAGGTACATGGAACCCTGTGTGGGAATTGGCTAGCTTTGCCATCCTGTTAAGTATAAAATGAGTCAAGTGGAGAGTAGTGAACAGAGAGGACAGTGGGGCAAGCCCCAATCCCAGCTACACTGACCCTTTTCCCAGAAGAATGCAGTACAGAGGACAGCACTAAAGATATAGCCCGAGGAGAGTGATGGGTCAGCCCATACCACAAGGGAGAAAACTCAGAGGGAAAGAGAGAGAGAGACATTGAGAGAGAGAGAGAGAGAAACAGCACTCTGGCCCACCAAGCCCCGAGGACGACATTCCTGCTTGGAGCAGCCAGTGCACAGAGAGGACCATAGGGCTGGCCATCATAAGACAGGTCGCCCCCTACTAACACCAGTGCTACGAGGGACAGCACTGGAGCCACAGTACGGGAATTGTGCCCCTCCCCACCCCAATCCACACACCGCGGCAAAACACGATGGAGTGCAACAGAGGCACAAGAGGAGCAAAGCAAGTCCTCAAGGGATACTAAAAATACACTTCTGACTCTGGGGGCAGGGCTTGGCACCTCATCAAACCCGATTGGAAAACATTCATAAGGATCAGCAGACAGACCTGCTTGATAGACTTTACCCACCCACCCCCATGTGTATCTATATAAGATAGGCAGGATGGTTTACAATCCTAAGGAGAAAACAATGGGGGAAAAAAGAAAAAGAAAACAATGGAGACAGATGGTT